GAGAGAGAGAGAGGATGACAGAGTTGGAGTTGAAAGTGAAACAACTCCTTGAAGAGGTTGCAGTCGACTACTCGACCACTGGCCCTCTCGAAGATGCAATAGCGGCAATTACGCAATCTCTCCGCTCTATCTCCTCCGAAGAGAAGGTAAACTGTATCCATTTATTCATGTTGTTTGTCCAATTTTTTATCTCTCTCTTGCCATGTCTCCTTTGCTGAGTGAGCACACACTCTCTCTCTTTCTTTGATATCTCTCTTTATGTCTCATTTGTTTAATGAGCACACAGTCTGTCTTCTCTGTTGAATGGTATCTCTCTCAGGCTCCTTTGTAGAATGGGCTCTTTCATCTGGCCTTTGTTGAATGAGCGCTCTCTCTCTACATATCTCTCCATTCTCTAGGTTGGCTTTGAAACAGCTCCAAAATTCATTGAAGACCTTGGAGTCCAGGCCAATAAAGTCAAGTTCACATTCCGGAAGCCAGAGTTTATCGTCATAGGAGGCAGCTATTCATTCAAAGCAGTCGCGAGGCCATATTTGAATGTTGATATCCTAATCCGCATGCCCAAGGTTGGTACCTTTTTCAAGTTGGTTCCTTTTTAATTGGTTTTGATATTTAATTGAGGATACTGTGGATCAAATTTTTTTTACAGACGTGCTTTCATGAGAAGGATTACTTGAACCATCGTTACCATGCCAAAAGATGCCTTTACCTCTGCATAATAAAGAAGCATCTTGAATTGTGTCCCACTGTTCGGAAGATCGAATGGTCAGCCTTTCGAAATGAGGCTCGGAAACCTATCTTGATTGTTCACCCAGGTTGATTTCTTATTGCTTCCCAATCTGCATTTTATGGATCCATAACGAATTTGCATTGGTTGTCATGAGAATCTTACAGTCGAAGGTGTTTTGGATTTGTTACAGTGTCTACGATTCTGTATAATTTCATCCACAATTTAAGTAACATTTACTAGTTTGCTTGAATATGTTTTGGATTTGTTACAGTGTCTACGATTCTGTATAATTTCATCCACAACTTAAGTAACATTTACTAGTTTGTATGTATTCAAGCATTATTGCTTGTAACCATCATGGCTTATTACAAAATACTTGGGATCTCCTAACTGTTTTGATTGATATATTCATGGGCATTTGGTGTATTAGGTATTAGTGGCTACAGTTGAGACGTGAGAGTGAGTTGTATTAAACTACACATCCCTTTTCTTCTTCTTCTTTTTTAGTATATTTGGGGTGATTTAGGGGCCGATTGGGTACCTGAAAATCTATCACAGGGAAACATTTTACAAGGAAATATGAGATTTACCATGCTTTGGTACACTTCAACCTTTACAATTTTTTTTCTGTTTAGAAATTGGGCTTGGGTTTAGGTGGTTAGCAATTGACTTTAGCAATGCTCCATCAGAAATTTGATTCTTACCACTGACCTACCCCCAACATTTTTTTTTCGCCACGGTCAACTTGAGATGATGGTGGCATTTGGGGTAAATTGTTTTCTGTCATTTCTTCAAGTCTCCTCTCAAATATGATTATTTGTGGCAAACATAATAAAAGTTGTTTGTCTATGGAGATACCAAGGCCAACTTGAAGTTTGTGCTTTCTTGGATTAAGTGTTCCAAAAAATGCTGGGCTGCACCTAGGCGGCCGGGGGCCTAGCCGCCCAACGGCTAGGCGACGGCCTAGAACCATAAGAAAAATAAGAAAATAAGAGCAGATAAGAAAAAGAGTAGATAGTAGATAGTTCATAATCCATGTTTCCAAACAATGATACAATTATACGCACAAAAGTAGATAGTAGAAACTAGAAAATAAGAAAAAGCAAATATACAGTCTAAGACTAAACACTAAGAGTCAAGTGCCTTCAATCATCGTCATCATCATTAGGAGTAGGGTAAGCCTCATGATATGCAATGGATTCGAGGCCATCATCATCAAAGTCACCTCCTTCTTCAACATAACGCTCGTCTTCCTCAGTTTCTTCTGAATCCGCCCCTTCCTTCTCTTCTTCTACCCCCCTCTTACTCTATGCAGATGAGGCCCGGGAGTCTTGGCTGCTCTACCAGGTGCGTCTTCTATTTTTTCTTGCTTTTTGATTCACTGAACTCAAATTTTGTTTTATCTCCTCCTTGGTATTCTCAAGAACATTTTTAAACGGGGCAACATCCCCCTTAATACTGACAAGGTGTTTCTTGAATCGATAAAGACCTTCATTAGTATCCTTTCCATAATAATTACATCTTATACAATTTTTGTCATTCGGATTTGGATAATGACCATACTATCACCACGTTTAAAAGAACTTGAGGAAGATATTTCCATATAACAAGTTTCATTTTCTTCCTTTTTTGGTTTTCCTAAATTCAAATATTGTCTAATCGGCTCCCTAATAGCTTCAAGAACCTTTTTATAGGAAGCGACATTCTCTTTTCTCTTTAATACCGGCTAGGTGTTTCTTGAACCGGTTAATACCCCCATTAGTATCTTTTTTGCAAAAACTACACCTTGTACAATTTTTATCGTTTGGTTTTGGGATATATCCATACTTTCAATCTGGATCACCTCTTCTAGCAGAACTAGAAATAGACCTATTCAAATGATAAAGATTTTGTTCATATTTGTATTTTACTGAACTTATATATAGCTTAATCTTTCTCTCTGATAGCTTCAGGAATATTTTTATAAGGGGTAACATTCCTTCTAATACCGGCGAGATGTTTCTTAAACCGGTTTATGCCTTTCTTTTGTATTTTTTTCACAATAATTGTTGTTTATGCATTTTTTATCCAAAGGATTCTGGTTATAGCCATATTTTCAACCCAAATCACTACTTTGATTAGATCCTGCAAAAGACATCAAAATAATACAAGCAATCTAAAAAATAATCTTTTGCACTTACTTTGATTTCCGATCTCCAAACTTCCACCTCTGAGATTTTTTTTATTGGCAAAATCTTCTAAACACCCTTTGATAGATTTTAAAAAACTAAATCTAATATCAATAGGTGATGTTTGGATCGATTTCTCGTAATTTTGAGAAACCCTTCGATCTTATGAAAATTACAAAAATCTAGTTTTTTGAGGTTTTCTCTCTCTCCAATGGGCTCTAATGGGGGTTAGGTTTCAAATTAACCTAAAACCCACTTTTAAACCTTTTTTAAAATTTTTTTTTTTCCAAAAAGAAAACCAAAAATTCCCTCAACAAGCTTGGACTCGTCCATGCCTTCTTGATAGCCTAGGCGCTGGGCGGTCCGCCTTTTGGAACAATGCTTGGATTGTTAATCACCAAACCAGGGAGAAGAGTTTAAGGGCATTTAACTCCACCTCAAGTAGCACTATCCTGAGGTTGGTTGCACGTTATGTTCAGATTGTCAAATTTAGTTTCATTGTTGACGGTGGAATTGTACAACGTTTTGTATATTTACATGTTGATGCTGTGGTACTCTATTCTTTCTTATTAAAATTTTCAAGTTATTGCATAGGTATGTATATTTAGTTATCATTTTAGATGCTGGAAATATGTCTTTTCTTAACCTTTTATATTAGTGGATGCAAAATTATGACTATTTTTATGTTTTAGATGTGGAGTGTGGTGTGGTATCCGAGTTTGGCATAAGAATCATCCCCACTGCTCCCTCCTTGTTTGATACTTCACACCTATCCTTCAATCGGAACAATGTTCGTGCATTTACCACAGGTGATTTGTTTTTATTTTTATTTTTATTTTTTCTGGTTTTGAATGTTAACCATGGACCTAGTGAAAATGGAGCTCTAGACGTCACATTGCAGCAAACTCCCACCCTGAGCACTTCTGTCTAGAGCACATTCTCTTGTGGATTCTTTATATCTTGATGGTTTTTACGCAATCTCTTTCACAAGTACCTTGATCTATCTTGTTGTGCATTCTTTGTTGACATCAACTAGGATATTTGTGCGATGTTTCTGTCCACTGCATTTATTTTTAATGATCTTTATTTTATGTCTTTTGGTTGAACTGTTGGTAGATGGCCTTCCTCAAGCTACTCCAAATTATAATTGCAGCATCTTGGAAGATATGTTCTTGGAAGAGGATATGTCATTTATCAAGCAGATATTCATGGAATGGAAAGATTTAAGGGAAGGATTACTTCTGTTAAAAGTGAGTTTTTGCATGTCAACACATTGTTCTTTGCTTTTGTGTTTCTCTTGTATCAGACCTGCCCTCCCCCCTCCTCTTCTTTTTTTGTTTCGTCTAAGCTTGAATGATTGGTATCACTTTGGCTGTTAAATGCTTCTAATGGCTTCTTTTAAAGTCTTTTTGACTTTCTTAAGTTCAATAGTCAAATGGGTCTTTAATCCTTGTAATTGGGGTGTGGCATACATCATCATTATTTAGAGATGGTAACCTATTATTGGTTGCAGGTTTGGGCAAGGAATAGAAGTTCTATATATATCCATGATTGCTTGAATGGATTTATTATCTCTGCTATACTGTCATATCTTACAACGGAGTCTGGAGGGAAGCGCATCAATCATTCAATGACACCAATCCAGATTTTTCGTGTAACTTTGGATTTCATTGGTAGATTATCATCTCATTTCGATTGTTTATAACTTATGCTCTGCTTAGTTATTGTTTTGCATTGCTACTTATCAGTCTCTTATTTTTTATGTCTTATTACGTTTTTGGTATTAATTATCCCATATTTGGAATTTTGGATTCTACGAAACTCCTCAAAATAATGCGTTGCATATATGACAGTCTCTTGGATAGAGTAGAAATGGTATCATAGTTTGTAGTCATTATTACTTCTAGTTTCCTGCATCATTGGGAGCATTTCTCCTTCTTGTCCATACTGGTTAGGTGCAAGTTTGTCGTCTCCCTCGTCTATTGCTCTTGATCTTTTTATTTTTTATGAATATGTTGCCACCGATCATTGCAACTGGCTGCACAAGACTATGGATTTGATATAAAATGCTTGACTCCCTATAGATGAATCATCTTGTCTTTAGTAGGTATATAATGTGGCATCCACCCACATATTTGCTTTTTGCACCTCATTAATTCAGCTTGTGGAACTTCCATATGCTTAGGAAGGCTCTTTATTGATTTAGGCATGTAGGAAGCAAAAAGTCGCCCTATTTTAAATGTGCTGCATGAAGAATAAAGTTTGTAAATACAGGGCAAGTAGAATGTACAATCTATTGAGTCTTCAGACTTGTCTTATGCAACAAATGTCAAGACTCTCACTAGTGACAAATTTGATACTGTTTGCCCATGATCCTTTAGATAACTGGTGTTATATAGATAAGTTGGAGTGTTGGACTTTGTTTTTTACTATTTTTGGGGTGGGGGGTGTAGTTCAATGGTAGGAATCGAACTTGAAATTAAGGCCCAGTTTGGATGTCAAAGAAAAAAATATTCACATTGAAAAAAAATGCAATTTTTTTCCTCCTCAATTGAGAAACATTATCGTTTTATTTTAGTATGTTGGTAGACTGTTTGGATGTCTATTAAAATGTGAGAAGAAATTTTTATTTGCCAGATATGTCTGTTTGGATGCGTTGCAATATATTCTAAATTCGAATTTTTTCTTTATTTTTCTCATTACATAAAAAAGTTTAGGCCAACCTTAAATATCATGCATTTTGTATGCCTTTGACTTTGGACATGGAAACACATGCCTTTAAGCATTAAAAACAGTGAAATAATATGCTTGAGATTGCATGGTTTCAACATGTAAGACTTTGGAAGTACATGTTTTAATTGTGATCAACCTTCCAAATATATTTTTCACATAACTTCAAATACATATCAAATTTGGAAACCAATTTCAAAAACTGAAAAAAAGTTGGGAGAAGCCCTTGAAAGAAAAATATTCGGCTCTTGGAGGAGATTGAAGAGGTATATTAATTCAAGCATTATTTTTATTCTTTTATTGTGCTATAAAAACCTTCCAAATATATTTTCACATAACTTCAAATACATATCAAATTTGGAAACCAATTTCAAAAACTGAAAAAAAGTTGGGAGAAGCCCTTGAAAGAAAAATATTCGGCTCTTGGAGGAGATTGAAGAGGTATATTAATTCAAGCATTATTTTTATTAGTCTACTATTGCGGTTATGGTGGTTACGTTGTGTAATTTTTATTGTTTAAAAATAATTATTTTTTGGATTTTATACTGCATTTTTTGTGATAGTAACAAATGCTTCGAGCTTAAATAGTTTAAACTATCATGGCAAGTCTATGGACGAAAGTACTAATAGACAATTTGAAAAATATCTCTTTTAGGGGAGATATAAGGGTTGTTCAATTTGATTTTTGAGGTATGTTGTTATTTAGAAATAAATTTTGTAAATACCAACAGACAAAAATGAATTTTGTAAAGTTCAATTCTGAAATTTGGAAAAGTATAAAAATCAATCGTCTATAATTTTCTTCTAAAAAATATTATTTTGATTTTTTAAAATTTTTATTTTTATATGTTGTATATTCTTGATCTCCATAGAGCATTCGAAAATGGCAAAAAAATAACTCGAAATATGAAAATTTAAAGAAATTGATAAGAAATCCCAAACCCAATTTACACAATCTCCTCCAATAGCCTAATATTTTTTTTCAAGGGCTTCTACCAACTTTTTTTCCGTTTTTGAAATTGGTTTTCAAATTTGATATTTATTCGAAGTTATTTGAAAATATATTTGGAAGGTTTTTATAGCACAATAAAAGAAAAGGTTGATCACAATTAAAACATGTAATTTCGAAGTCTTACATGTTGAAACCATGCGATCTCAAGCATATTATTTCACTGCTCTTTAATGCTTAAAGGCATGTGATTCCATGTCTAGAGTCAAAGGCATACAAAATGCATGCTATTTACGATAGGTCAAAACTTTTTTATGTAATGAGAAAAATAAAGAAAAAATATGAATTTAGAATTTATTGCAACGCATCCAAACAGACATATCTGACAAATAAAATTTTTTTCTCAAATTTTAATAGACATCCAAACAGTCTACCAACATAATAAAATAAAACGATTAAGTTGACATCCAAATTGGGCCTAAGCTATTGAGTTTCTAGAAAGTAACATCCCGATTAAGTTGGATTAGAAATCTAAGTCGCAATGTTGCATAGTTTCCTATGATATTTTAATAAATGGAGCTTTCTATAAATGCGCATATAGGCTTATGACCAATTCATAATCAAGTTAAGACTTAAAGACATAAAAATTGGGTTTCGATTTTGGTGAGAGGCACCTTTAGAGGAGAGATTCCTGAACTACTTATTGTTTGGACAAGGGAAAGGATCCCATGCCCATGGTAGGATTAGAACTCAAAAGATAATGTTGTGGCACATGCCATCCAAGATTTCCCCACAACTGAATTCATTAATCATTCCCCTTCCGTAAACTGTAGGCAAATCTCTCCAAACTCTAGGTAAACAGCTCAAAAGCTACTGTAGGTATATACATATCCTCATTGCCTTCAACATAAGTTTAGACCCTAGATCTACCCAAATTCCACCCAAGATTCTCTCTCATCATCTTTCTATCTTGCTGGACCTGCTAAATTTCACCAAGCTCTAACCCTTTTAGAAACCTTAAAACCTGTTCTAAACTTGGCCCTAACCGAACCAAACCCTTCCCATAATACCAACCCTAATTTGTACTTCATTTAGACCTTGTATAGTCTGTTCGATCAAGAAACCTTTGTGAGGCCTAAAATTCTGTTATCCTAATCTTTGTAGGAACCTAAAAACCTAACTCCCAAATCTTACTTGAGCAGAAATCCTAGCCATGCCCAAATCATTTATCTCTATACCCTCCTTGCGTGTTACTCGTGTAGGAGCCAAGCCCTTTTGTCTTACATCAGTTTTGATGTCAAAGCAAGTTTTTCATTTGCAGTTTCCTTTGAGTTTGGCCATGTCAACATGGATGGGTACCTATGACTCTCATCTCACTTGGAACCAAATTGATGAGCTTTTATTGCACCTACTGAATCGAATGAACACCATGCTAGAAATTGTCTATGTATTTGTTGAAGAAAGAGCTAATCAGCCTTCACATAGTCGTAGTAGACAAGAAAGGAAGCGCGATAATGAGTTTCTAAAAGGGAACTGCTATGATACTCCTCCTAAAGAAGTTCTTGGTCAAGAAGGAGCTTTAAAGCCATTGACCACTTTCAACAAGCTCTTGATCAAGTTTGTGAAGATACGAGTAGAGATTCATCTATGGGTGTATTTTCAGAGCACGAGTTTGAATCACATATTATTGATGTAATAGGTGTTCCATCTATGATGATGTACCTGACGGCAAAATTGTGATAGAAGTCGTTTTTGATATAATAGACTTAATTAATACTTTGGCCCATAAATAAGTTGAGGTCATGATTCCCTTTCGTGAAGATAAAGTTGAACAAGAGAATGAGAAATAAGATTTAAGAGCCAAGTAAATTGCATGTGAATGTCTCAATCCTCCATGAACGTATGTGATGATCTTTTTCTTGAGGAGTTCTCAAATGTATTGATATTGCTTAATAAATGAAGTATCATCCAAACTTTAGGAGCACTAGAAATAGAGAATGGATTTAAATTGGTCTCCATTAAAGCTCACTTCAAAACTCTAGGACTCATTTCTCCAACAGGGAGAGAATGATGTAGACCGCTTTTCAAAAGCATAACTTTTGACTTGGATGTCTATTTGGAAGCTATAGACTCACTTTCAAAGCAACGAGAGGAGTTTACTAAACCTTTAAGAAGGCCTCATCTTGCAACACGACTGAACGCGTTGTCGTAAACGTAGGGGGCTGCCCTCTTTTCTTTGGAGCACCAATCCTTATTGACTACTACATTGATTTTTGGGCTATCACTGGTTGAATTGGCTAAGCCGCCCCAGCTATATACGCTTAGTTAGCTCATCAGACGAGAATCTAGTATTGATGGATGGGAATGCCACTCAGAACGAAGGAAGGGAAACCATCCATCTCTTGGTTTTTTTTTTTTTTCAGTAATCAAAGCTTTCTTTTGAGATCTACCATTCATATCTCTATGGATTTTTTATAATTCAAACATTTTTGGCCTTAAATCATGGTTGAACCAACTGGATAAATTAGCGACGGATTTTATTTTCCCAGTGTGATAGATTTCTTTCTTTTCGTTATTGAGTCATTGTAATTGGGTTTAGTTTTAGTTTACTCAAGAATTTGAGATTCTAGGATGTATGTTTTCAATGCTAGTTGAATTTGAAGCCTTTGCGTGGTTTCTTGGAGGCTTCAGGAGTTTGTCTTTTATGCTTTGAAGAAGTTTCGGAACAGTACAAATATAACTTAGAATTCTCTATACAGACCCTTGTAGGCATATGCTAATTCATAATCAAGTTGAGAAATAAAATTCGTATTTCATTTGTGGCGAGACGCCGCCTTCAGAGGAGAAATTCCTTAGCTCTTATTATTGAAAAGGTGTCTACAACTTGAACTGTGGTTTGGGAGAGTTTTTCCAAAGGTTAGAGCGCCTCTTCTTCTTTTGGAGGAGATATTTCCCAGAACTCAGCTTGTGGAGTTTATTTTTTCCCCATGTAAGCTTGGGCCCCTTTTTGATTGCCTTCTTGTGTGTCACATTCAATCTCTTACAATTCTTTCCAAACCCAAGGAAAACTAGCTCAAGAGCTACTTTTACAATATAGTGAGCCTCTATAGCCTTAAAACATAAGCTTAAACCCTTTTGTCCTAGTTCTATCGTAGACTTCATCTCATTATTCTTCTATTTTACTGGACCTGCTAAACTCTAGCAAGCTTTAACTTCTTTGGAAATCTTAAAAACCTGTCCTAAACTTTGCCCTGACCTAACGAAACCCTTTCCTAGAACCCTATCTCTTGTTCTACACTATTTCGACCTCACATTATCCTGTTCTACCACAATCGGGAAACCTCTATGAGCCCCAAAAACTGCTATCCTAATCTCTGTAGGAACCTAAAGGGCTAAGATTCTTTAGACCTTCCAAATCTGACTTACTAAGACTTCCTAGTCTTACCCATATCCTTCGTTTATACTCCCACCTCACAGGAGAGTGTACCAAATGGTTTCTAGCAGGGAAATATATCATCCAATACTTCTTAGGTGACATCTATTGCGTGGTATATAGTAGGGCTTCATACCTAGATGGAGTTGTCGAGTGTGGATTGTAGGTGTCCAGTAGTCCACCTTGGGATGTGTCTAAGAGTGCATTGTGGTGTTGTCTCATGGAAATAGCAGACACCTTTATCCCACTACGGAAGTTGAATGTGCTGCTTCTTGCAATGCCTTTGAATGGAATTGCTGCTTATGAAATTTGGTTTGATAATTATTTGTCAAAATTGTTTTAGAGTTGTGAATTTGATTTTCACACAAGATGATCATTGCACAATTGATGTGTTTTTGTTCTAAGGTTGAGATGCATGTGGATGCTTCTGTCTGACAATGAGAGTTACGATTCTAAATTCTTTTGATAGTAAGACATTTTTGTTTCAAATTGTTTTTGAGTTAGCATTTGCTAGTGACGCATTCGATAGAAGCTTTTAATCTTTTTTCTGCAAGAGTTCAAGCTTTGTTCCATCCTGCACCTAGTTGACATTTCTATCATTCTTCTCTTCTGTACAATTTTCTTCTTACATTCAATGTTTGCTTGCATGGAAGGTCATTTGGATGAGTTCAATTTTGCTTCATGTACTGTTTATTTTCACCGCTTCCTTTCTATAGTGGTATCAACTTATCCTTATGATCAAGAACTAATGAACTGTATCCTGAAATTTGCAGCTAGTTCTAAAGTATGGGACAAGGGCCTTCACCTTCACCCTTCGTCATGGAAGAATATGTCAGAAGAGGTTTGTTGCTGTGTTATTTAAGCTATAAGTGTTTGTACATTAAATTGGGCCATGTACCAGGGCATGTGTGGTTTTCATGATTTTCATACTCCATGCAAGAAACTTGGCTTCACTTGGGACCCAGCCCCTGTCCGAGCCGAGCAGCTCAGGCTAGTCCGAGTGAATTTTCCTGAGTCTTGCACAAAGCCCAAACAGGACTCAAAATTACAAATAAACTCATACAATTCCTAAAAAGAGTTCAAAATGAGTAAAAAGCAAAATAAGTCATAAATATCATTAAGATTCTATAAAAAGTAGAAAAAGTATATAGAAGATGATCATGATAAAAATTGATTTATAACTTGAAACACTTCAGAAAAAAAAAAAGAAGGGAAAAATAGAAAATCAAAGCATTTAATAAGAAAATTCACAAATCGTTATAAAAAACACAAAAATTATGTACAAACATGTTTTAAAATAATTTCTTAGTGATTTATTGAGAATGTTTTTATTTCTTAAGTGAATTTAAAAAACTTGAGGCACCAGGGTCGCCGATCATGTGCCGGACTGATTGATGCCGAAAGATTGTGGCCATATGGAAGAGGAAGTGAATAAGATCCTTTTTTCTGGCCTTGTCTTAGAAAAACACCCTGGCAGGGTGCCGAGGCCTAGTTACTGGGCTAAGTCCTGAAGCACTGCATTCAAGTCTTGTTGGTTTAGAAGTTATGGGCTTTCACTTTCTCGAGCTCGATATCATTTTTTCACCATCATAATAAATCACAATTACACTGTGTGCTTATCCCCAAAAAAAAGAAGAAAAAAGCACCACATTGAAACTACATAGATGATTAAAGATAGACACTTACTTTTTTACCTTTGGGCTTGTGGTACAACTGTTTTCTTTTTACTTATTGTAAATTCTGTCACATTCATTGCAATGTGGTATGGACTGGATTGAACTGGCAATATGCATGATTGTTGATAAAGGGGTTTGAAATCTTGGTTTAAATATTAGATCATAATTAGATCATAATGGGGAACAACAGTAACAAAGTGTTCAAATTCCTACTCACCTGACCAAACAGAGAGCTTATTATTCAATATAGGTCTTTCAATCATTAGCTAGAAGCTACTTTTCTATAGGCACGAGAGCCAAGTTATTCCCTAGTCTATTTTGGGGTTTCAAGAATGGCATTTATGTATTCTTGTTTACTGTAGATTATGGTTCGTTAACTACCTACTGTGTGCTGTTCTGTAGGGAATTGACCTAAGGAACTAGTAAACTTGTGTCTGTAGAGTTTGTCCCAGAATATTTATCATTTGTCCTGGACAGTTCTAGCATGTCTTTCTAAATTTCTGAATAAGTCAGAAGTTTGGCTCTAGGTTCAGATAACATATGTTCTGGATTGAAGTGGTTCAATGTATTTGAGCTTTCAGATGGAATCAGTGTTTGTGCGACTCTTCAGGAATTTTAGTTTAAAGATATCTAACTTGAGGTTATCCTCTGGATACTCTTGATTGAACTTCTTTTCCTTCCCTATGAGGAATAACTGAATTTTTATTCTTTGATGCTAATCTCATCAGTTTTCTCTAGTGTATTTTTTGAACTGGCTTGCTTTTTTGCTCAACTGGATACTGTACTGGCTCTGTGTTCTACTAATGTTTATATTAAGGTGTACTTCAATTTGAGCTGAAAACTTGATCAAAGTTATAGACTTACAGGTACTGTAAATGCTACTTTCTGGTGCAGTAGCGGTCAAAGAGACAATGTTAGACTGGCGAGAGGGAAAACCATGTATGAGGTTTCTAAAAACTAAATCTAATTATCTTTTATTATCACGAGTAACTAGTGACATTCATGTTAACCTAACTTTTACAAACTAATTGGACAATATTGAACCTAAGAAATTGGATAATTGGTTTCCAAATAGGTTTTACAAAGCAATGTAGTAAGCTTAAGGTGGTCTAGCTTTATGAATGGACTTGCTATGCTTATAAGTCATAACTGTGATTCGTCATGGGGTGTACATCATGTCGCGATTATCATCATCATCTAAGTCTTATCCCAACTATTTAGGTTTGACTTCACGGATTGTTCTGCCATTCTGCTCATAGGTTCAGGATTTATGACAAGATTTGGCAAAGTTTTACGCCGAGTGTACATGATGTGTGAAATGGAAATATTTTGTTATGAGGAGACAACTGAGGATTAGCATGAGTAAATTGTGAACTCCATATCATTGAGATGGTCTTAGAATTATGGGTACCAAGAAATCCAATGCAGCATTGTGTGGTTGGAGATCACCAAAAGATTAACCCACATGAAAAACATAAATCTCTTTTAGTGGGACCGTCCTTTTCATTGAGGCAATCTTGACCAATATCCAAATTATTTTCGTCTTTGCTTCAAATACTGATAGGAGTATTGAGTAGTCAATTATGAAGATTGCAAGTAGAATTCATTTGGTATGATGGAACTCCAATGAAGAGATTTCACCTGGTTCAATAGAGGAGGTTTGCTAAATCTATAAAATATGTGGGCTTTGGATACTTGGGGTATTGATATAATGAGCAAAACTGTTTTATTGAAGTGGATTTGGAGGTCAACTTCAGCAAGGATTGAGTATAGAGAGGAATGATGTGGAAAAACCTAAATAAGGGTACATAAATTTGGTATGGTAAATGTAAGCAATCAACTAACATTTTTTGCGGTTAAAGAGCGATTGGCAACTTAGTTGAGATTGTGAAGGGCAACTTGTGAATAGTTGTTGGCAGTGGGGAGAGATCTCATTAATGAGGTGACAATTCTGGCCTACAGAGGTTTTAATTTTATGTTATCCCAGGATTAGGGCTGTTATTCACAACAAAAGCAGTGCTGTAGAGGATCATTTTTATATGAGGCCTTAGGGAACTAGTTGGAGATTGGATCTTTTGACACTGAGGTGGAACAAATGGTTTTTTTGTTTTCCCCAATCCAGTCAATTAATGTAAGAGGTGAGAGACATGATGGAGGGTGGTGTAGGATCTAGGAGTTTCTTCCTCCATCAAGTCTGCATATATTTGGTAGGGAGTTTGCTGAACTCTTTCTATCAAAGTGGATTTGGAGAAAGCAGGACACAATTTGAACTGCACCTTCCTTGTGGCTTCTTTTTTAATTCTTACAATAGCAAAATTGGGGGATGATATTTCAAAACACTTCTTTTACATGAGGAAGAAGTAGTGTAGTTGATTGCTTGTTGTATCATTGCCCTTTTAGCTGAGAGATTTTGTTAACTGTTTTAAAACTCTTTAATGTGATGGGGTTAACCTTGACACTCCACGTGTTTGCAATGCTGGAAAGGGACAAATTGGAACAACAATGGAAAGTGCTATGTAATGTGGTGGATAATCCGTTATAGGAAATTTAAGAGCTGAATATTTAATTTGAAAATAATGGTGGAAGCAAACAAGCCAACCTTCTTAGCTCTCTAGTTTAACCAGGACTCTCAAAACAAATAATATTCGACTCCAAAGAACACCCTCTCCAATAAGTCCTATTTATAGAAGCCTTTATAAAGAACAAATAAAAAATAAATCGTTTTCTCTCTTTCATTCATGTACCCCCTCCCAATCACCTTAATTTTACGCCTCTCACTTAAAATCCATCTAGAAAGAAGACTAATCCTAAATATTCTCTCTCTTCATCCATTAGAATAGTTCATATCTCTCTCAAACCTACCTATTCCCTCTTTATTCCCTACTATTTTCCCTTAATCTCTACATGAATCCTATCAACTCACCTTCCTAGGACGTTGCTTACTCCCCACAACAACTACCCAATTATTTCATAGAAAATCTCTATGCTAATCCAAGAAAATAAGAAGTAAACCACCCTACAAATTACATGTCAAACTCTTTTTGATCCCCAAATTGTTCGCTAACAACAAATAATAGAACACATCCCTGTCAGCCGCTTATGCATCCTATGGTGGTCAGCTGTTCTCCTTCTTGGCATACATACCACAGATTTGGAAAGTGGAAATTGAAAAGAGATCCATATTAAGAGACTCTGATGAACTTGAAGAGGGGCATTATCTTTGGGCTCATCTAAAAGCAGGAGTGCAGGGTGATAGTATTGAAGACCTCAAAGCATCACGGAAAGTGAACAGACATAATATAAGATCATATCATAAATAGTTAAGGAGTGGGTTCCACCTCGTAGAATTTTTTGCAAATAAATTATGCTGGTGCTGCCAAATGGAAACCTGGACTGTCATGCTTCTGTTGAGTAATTAGAAATCTTGGTGCTAGTTCTATTTTTTTTTCTTTTTGCTAGTGATGGCTATTGGAGCAGTAAAGCACACAATGGATATGCACACATGAATCTATTTATCCTGGTCTTGTTGACATTTTATAAACAAGATCGAGAAATTAGGGACCACAATTAAATCAATTTAGCAGACGATGCAAGAAGACTCTTCTGGTGTTTATCTTAGTGTCACTCAATGAGAGACACAATGTTCACACTATAAACGGCCAGAAAGGACAACAGTGATATTAATGGTAACTTGAAGTGTTCGTCAGATATGTATGTGTCATGATGCTTTTTTGGAGTTATTGCGAATGCACTATTGCTGATGCATTTGAAATTTGTATGTTTTGCTTTCTTCCTTTATGGTGGTTGTATTTTGCTTTTTACCTGTTGAATTTTGAATGTAGTGATTCTTTCATGTCCGATTTCATTGGTTCATGTTTTGTTTAGTTATCTGAATAATTATTCGGCTTCTTTATTTGAGTAATTATTGGATTTGCTCCTACAGAACATGATTTTTTTGTCGATTTGTCTTCCTGTTATTTTAAATTTTTTTTAGGAACGGAAACATCTGCCCTTTGCAGTTTTCTTTGGGGATTCATCTGGTTACCACAACTTGGCATTTCAGTTTACTAGGAGTGCTTTCTTAGAGGTTGTGCTACATTTCTATGGTTAAGCCTTCTTCCTCATTGATATTTTCTCAAGAAGAAATCATATTGGTTTCTGATTTGTTTGATACTGATGTAGATAAACTGACCGCACTTAATTTTGCAGCTTAGAGATGAGGCAGCATGGACACTTGGTTACATGGATAAGTACAGGGATTCTGGATTCGAGGACGTTTTCCTAACTAAAATTGACTTCACTACTAAGTTTGACTATTGCATGAGGTTCTCTATTGCACTTCCTAATAAGTAAATGTTTTTATTTCATTGCTTTTTTGTTATCTTAAAAGGAAGCGTGGGGTATAGTTGTTTATTGTTCATTTAACCTTTAAAAGAACAATGAAGGATTGAGCAGAGCTTATCAACACCAACTTAAATGTTTATTGATCTAAGTGACATGTATAGTGGCTTTATATGTTACTATCTCTTATTTATCAATTTTTGCTATTTTTTTGTTTACTATTACCTTAGCAGATTGGTGCCATGTATAAGTGGGTGATTTGATGTTGAGTGTCTCACTTGATATTGTGAAGTTTGCAATATGAACAACATTGGTTCACATGAAGTATGTCTCCCAACATTGTGGTGTTCATAAAGAGACAATTTGGGTATCATCATCTCTTTGGAGCCTATCGAGAAGGGAACTAGTAGCATTAGTGTGTTTGAATCTGTTTGCAAATGGAGTAACATCAACTAGATTACAAATTCGGCAATGCAATTTGCCAATGAGGATACGAATTAAACCTTGATAGAAGCTTGCTCAACAACAACAATCATGGTCCCTCAGATGGGCAAAGGTTTGGCACTGAAAATTTTGTGGGATCCTTGGGACATCGAGTTTCTATTAATGTAGAAGAGCTCTCTTGATTGGGCTCCTTTCTTATCCAGCACTGAAGGTTATTATGACATATGATATGCAGCATCATTATAGACTGGCCATCATTTACCATTTGGCCTTGTCCTCCTAGGATTCCCTTGCTCATGGGTATTTGCATTTAGCTGTGCGTGAGGTTGCAAATGGACTGCAATGGCTGCCTGCTGCATTGCCAATGAAATGATTCTTGCTATAGAACAGTGTTTGCTTGTAATTGTGGCTTCATTAATCAGAAATTATCTTAGGGTAGTTCTTCTAGTGGTTCTATTAAAAATATCATGGGTTGCAACCTCAGCCTGTATTTTGTAGAGCTGCAATTTCACAAAGTTTAAGATGATGATCAAAGTCTTAATTTACTGAAAATGTGATTCAGTGAGGATTTTATAGGATGGAAAAATTTACAGCAAGGATACAACAGCCACCAAAGGAGTCGAATAGCTCAAGCACTCGTAAAATTAAATGCCTTCTCTACACTTCGCCCATCACAACCATTTATATAAGAAACACCTTAGAAGCTCACGATTAAAAAAGTTAACCTAAACCCTAATTACACATAAATTATAACCTTGAATTCAACCTAATCCTGGCCATCCATCTAAACTGACGATTACAGTGCCCCTAAATTATATTCAAAGTTAAGAGGACCAATAATTACTCTAACAAATGAACCTAGACCCTAAAATATCTTAATGACTAGCAAATATCTAAAAACATAGGAGACTAACACATTCAAATTCTTCATGAGTCTAATGTGAAAGTTTGGGTTGACATGTGGGGCCTAAGGGATGGAATCTGACAAAGTATGTAGACATTGTAGATATTGAGTACACCTATGAAATATGCCCTGAAATCCACCAAGCAGACACCCAGTGCAAAGTACTGTATCAGAATTTGTGTTGCATGTGGGCTGGAGTTGTCATAAACTGGCCATGGCTCTTTAGATCACACAGATGAACTTCTCCGTGGAGAACCACTTGGGTGAGACCTCATTGACTTTGTTATTAATGGCAAGTATTCACATTTATTTATTTCTTATATGAGAGAGCAACCCCTGCTTCGAGAAGACAGTGGCAACTAAGTCTGGATAATGATTGCGTATCTACTTGGTCAGAAATGTCTCTTCAAAATCTATCTCGTACTCCTAGTCAAGTTCTTCACCTTTAAAAGATATGACCAAATTTAGTTTCTCCCAATATTTCCATGTGCAACGGATGGTACACCAATCTCGTTTGTTTTAATGAGCAATATATCCTTTTTTTGGGTAGTTCAGCCATAGGATTCGAATTAGTAAGATGAGATATTTAGCCAGTTACCCAGTGTTACCCCGACGCTTCACATGGGAGTTGGTGCCACATCGATATGTGTCAACAAGTAGAAACATGTCGACATAGGTAGACACCGCCCCGATGCATGACTGTACGTGTCAAGTGCTGTCATTAAACGTAGTACCGTGTGGACACCATAGTTAAAGTGTCTTATTTTCCATTCCATTAAGTGGTGGAGCTGACATGCATGTGGTGGTGACATTAGAGGTTTTAACCCCACCCGTTTCAAATGTAGTGTATGGAATATTCAATTATTTTAATTTTTAAAGTTATTTAATCAACAAAACTTTAAGCCCCAAGGTGGATTTGATTAAAGCACCTATTTTTAAAGGTACATTGCCTCTACCACTTGAACCATGCGTCTCTTTGTGAACATTACAAGTAATTTATTATATATATTCTTTGATGGCAAGAAAATATATTAAACAACTGCAATAACGCGCTAGTATTTGAATCCTGGACTTCTCACTCTGAGTCTTATAAAAGATTTGCTACCGATCAAGCCACTTACTGTGTTATGTCAAATTTTAGAAATTTGCATCATCATCATCGTCATTTTAGCCTTTACCCAATTAATTGGGGTTGGCTGCAAGAATCCTGGTTCTTTATTCTGCTCTATTAAATGTCATATCCTTAGTGAGGCCATAAGTCCTTATATCTTTTTCGGATTACTTCCAACTATGTCCTTTTGGGCCTATCCCTTGCCCTTTTCAGTTATTCCACTTGAACTAATTCGCGCCTCCTAATAGGTGCCGTACTTGGTCGGCACCACACATGGGCAGCTCACCTAAGTCTATCATCTCATTTTATCGCCTATTGGTGCCACGCCTAAATTCTCTCGAATAGATTCATTGCGAATTCTATCCCTTCTTGTCTTGCTACTCATCTATCTCAACATCCTCATCCCAGCTACACTCATTCTATAAGTATATTGTTTTTTGTCCGCCCAACATTCTGCCCCATAGAGCAAAGTTGGTCTCACCGCTGACCTATATAACTTTCCCTTCAGCCTCATTGGTATGCGGCAATCACATAAAATTCCAGTTGCGCATCTCCACTTTGCCCACCCATCTTTAATTCTGTGTGCGACATCTTCTTCGATCTTTCCATTTTTTTGGATTATCGATCCAAGATATCGAAAGAGCGGCCTTTTTTGTACTTCTTGGTCGTCAATCTTAACTATTCCTCATCTCTATTCTTATTATTACTAAATTTGCTCCATATGCTTTATCTTAGTCTGACTAATTTTTAAACCTTTGGATTCTAGGGCATCTCTCCAAAGTTCTAGCTTTGTGTTGATGCTGTTTTGGGTCTCATCAATCAAACTATATCATCTGCGAACAACATGCACCGTGGTAGGTCCTTAATTAAATCGTCCATAACTAAGATAAAGAGGTACGACTCAATACTGAACTTGATGTAGACCTATTGTCACTGAAAGCTCACTCGTCTCTACACTAGTTGTTTGTACACTGGTAATCGCTCCATCGTACATATCTCTCACCAAGTCGATGTAGTGCCTAGAGACGTCTTTCTTTTCCAACACTCGCCAAATCAAATCTTGAGATACTCTATCATAAGCTTTCTCTAAATCAATAAAGACCATGTGGAGCTCTTTTCCCTTCACCTTAAACTTCTCAATCAGTTGTCTAAGTAGGAAAATAGCCTCAGTTGTTGACCTCCTAGCATAAAACTAAATTGGTTTTCAGATACATTTGTTTCATCCCTTAGTCGGTTTTTTTTGAATAAAGGTTAACTTGTATTAAATAGGAGAAAATTACATATATATAGAGCAGAAGAAGACAGCAGCCTATAGGTTAGGTGCTCAGAGAACAATCTAGAGGGAGGAAGAAGAAGATAAGTAAAAAGAAAAGAGGAGGGAGAAGAGGAAGACAAATAAAATACAGTGAAGGGCAAGAAATAAAACAAAACTCTGTCGATAGGCTAGCGGACATCCTCAGTGGGGTTATGGTCAATGAGCGAGCGGATATCCACTGTTGGCCTGTTGCACTTTCTTCTATGAGCACTGCTTCTTCAAAAGGCTGGCTGACTTTGGAAATGACAAGAGTAGGCTCCCTTGAGGAGGCATGTCTTGAATGCAGGTTGGCAGCCAGCAGCGGTATGTTTTACTAGGCATAGGGTCTATTGTGGAAAGGCCATTGGGTCTGCTGAGCTTAAAGTGACGCACTAGGGAGGACTATATATTACAAGCCCAACTTCAGCAGAGAAATGCTTGGGCAGGACTATCTTCTCTAAGCATTGCTACTTCAAAAGGCTGGCTGAATATGGAAGATACTATAGTAGACTTCCCAGGGGAGCCAGGGCTACCGTGAAGGAGTTAGCAGCCAAGAAAGATCTGCAACTGAGCATAGGGTCTTCAGTGGAGGGGCGAGTGGGTCGGCTGAGCTTAAAGTGGCCCATCAGGGAGGGCTATCAACTACAAGCCCAACCTTCAACAAAGAAAGGCTTCGGCAGTACTGTCTTTTATGAATACTGCAACTTTAAAAGGCTAGCTGACTATGAAAAGGCTAGAATAGGCTCCCCTGAGAAGCCAGGCCTTCAGTGAAGATCGTCAGCCAAGATTGGAATGCTACTGGGCAGCGGGTCTTCGGTGGATGGACCAGTGGGTCAGCTGAGCTAAAAGATACCCAGGCTGAGGTAGGGGTGGGCATAGAGAGGAGGGATGTAGTAGAGATGATGGGGAGGAAAACTTCCTCTATTTTTTCTCTTTTTTTTTTGTGTTTTGGGGAGCAGGTAGACGATAGAAGTTATGAGAGTAAAGGGGGAAGAGATAAAGAGATAGAGTAGGTGGGGGAAAGATATCAAGGTGAGAAAAGAGAGAAGCTGGAACAAAGTTAAGATGGGGGGGTGGGGGGAGGAATAGGGGAAAAAAGATATGTATGTTTGTGAAGATAGATAAGATGGGGGGAAAGAGAGGAAAAAGGAATGTGAATGCAGGATAGAGAGATAGAGAGAGAAGTGAGGTTGGGTGAGATGGGGGGGCAGGAGAGAGGAAAGGAGGATGTGAATGCAGAAGAGAGAGAGGGAGAGGAAGGGGGAGAGATAGATGGGGGAGTTGAGTCACAAAATGGCGTACCTTTGTTGTTGCGGTGGAGCTAAGCTCTTCATCGTTTGTTGGAGCAGAATTGGAACTCTGTAACGAAGTTTAGGTTCCTTCTCGATGATTCACTAGCCACAACTACAGTAATGGGCGATGACATCTGCCGGAAAGGTGTAGAGGGGAGGAGGATTGAGAGAAAACAATATATGGGGGGGGGGGGGAGATATGAGTAGAAAAATGGAGAAGATGTAAGTGAGAGAGAGAGATACTGGTGATGGGTTAACCCTGATAAAATGGTCCATTTGGAATGATCCTGAAGAATTCGAATTCTTTGTTTCTGTATTGGCTGCTCCAAGGAAGTGCTAGAGTGTGAGATGGTAGAGATGGGTTAAGAGGGTGAGGGTAAAGTATAATAGAAAGGGCACCGATGAAAACCACTAAAATGGGGTCCACGGTTTTAGGCTTACCAAAAGAACCATCCCCTCCCCCTTCTTTTCTCTCTCTTTTTTTTTTTTCCCCATTTCTCTTCCCTCCCCCTATGGATCCATATAGTATGCTTACGGGCCAAGGATTGCTCCCTCCCTGGCTAGTCTGTCTGCCTCCAAGTTAGCCTCTCTGTATTAATAGGTAAAGGGCACTTTAGGAAGGGAGTTACATAAGTAAAAAATATGATAAAAAATTGGAAGAAAGCCTCCAAGGAGGTAGTCGCAACTGTGTGGTCCAACTGATAATGTTGAGAGGGTCTGATTCCACCTGGATGCCTTGTACAGCAGGTGCTAAGCAAAGCACCTTGTTGAGGCCCTCTAGGAGGGCCTTCCTCCGCATAGGTCGAGTCTTGGTGTCCTATGAATTTTGAGAAGGTCCAGATGGTAGTAGAATGGTTAGACAAAATTCCTCCAATACCTGAAGGGCCAGGGTTGCTTAAAGAGGAACCATTTGCATTGAGTTTGAGAAAGCCAGGGGGAGGAGGAGACTAGTGAGGTCTCGATGTGTTTATTTGCGGCACAAGATGTAAAAGGCTATCCCAGTTGTTTAGGAAGTGAGAAATAGGAAGGGCAGCAAAAATGGGAATGGACTTGGCCCAGAAGGCTATAAGTGCAGTTATGGATTCAAAGACAGCTGCTATAGTTTTTTGTATGGTTCTGAAGGAACTGGAGGGTCTTTCTAACTATAGACTCCAAAAGAGGCTGGCTACAGTAAGATGCCATAACTTCCTACCCTTTTAGGAAAAAGGTTGTGCAAAGTAAATTTGGAAAAATTGGGTTAGGTTAGCTGGGATGACCCATTGTAGGCCAAACAGCTTAAGAAGAGAGGCCCATAGGCATTGAGACTCTGCGCAGTGGAGGAAAAGGTGGGGGATTGTCTCCTCTTCTTGGAGACAGAGGATGCAGCGATAGTATGGCTCGAAGTGATCCGTCGAAGGGCCATTTTCTTGATACATTTAGCCATCATTCCATATTACATTGACATCATGTTCAAAGTTCCACTTTTCTTTGTCAACTAATTTATCCCTAAATAAGTCGATTTTCTCATTTTTTAAATTCTACCTCCTAGTTCTTGGACGCCCATTACTTTCACCCCTTCTCCATGTCTTTATGCTGATCTCCATGACCATAAGCCTATGTTGGGTAGTCAAACTTTCTCCTTGGATAACCTTGCAGTCTTTACGTGATGGTCGATCTACCTTCTTAACTAGGAAGATGTCTATCTGGCTTTTATATGTTCCACTTTTGTAGGTTACTAAATGTTCGTCTCGCTTTTTAAAGTAAGTGTTTGCTTTGCTAGGTCATAGGCCATAGCAAAATCTAGAATAGTCTCACCCATCTCATTTCTTTCCCCAAACCCATATCCCCCATGTACCCCTTCACATCCTCTACTATCCTTCCCTACATTACCATTTGGGTCCCCACTTAAAAGGTTCTCTCTCCATTTGGTATGTCTTGGACTATTCCATCTGTGTCCTCCCAAAATTATCTGTTCATTCTATCATTATATCATCTAATCCTACTTGTGGTGCATAAGTGATAATTACATCAATTATCTATTCTCCTTATACAAGTTTAATTAATAAGAGCCTATCACCTATTCTTTTGACATTAACTATTTTATCTTTTAAATCTTTATCTACTATTATACGTACGTCATTTCTATTATTGTCCTTTCCTATATACCATAGTTTATACCCATCTATTTCTTTAGCTTTTTCTCCTTTCCATTTAGTTTCTTGTAGACAAGCTATGTTTACTCTCCTTCGTCTCATTGTATCCACTAATTCCATACTCTTACCTGTAAGCGTTCCTACGTTCCATGTAACTAAACGAATCCTATTCTCTTGGACTAACTTCTTTACCTGCGCTCGTCTAGGGTGTCGCGGGAACCCTTGCCTATTTTTCACTGCAACGGGGCGGTGCTGCGGCATGTCGCTTTTGGGGAATGCCCTACCTACCCCTTGCTCATTTCTCACTATACACGGGTTCCGATACAGCACGTTGCTTTCGGAGAATGCCCTAGCATAAACAGATACTATAAGTTTATCCTAAATGTGTAATATATGTATGGACATTTTGGAACCTACTCACTTTTTAAACCGTTGTACTAGACACTTTAGATACACATGGACACCGACATGCATGTCAGTATCTATGTAACACTGCAAATATCCTTATACGTGACGATGTAGATTAGGTACTCAAATTCGATCCGCTAAAGGGCAAAATTATTTTTTTCTGTGAACCTTAGAAAAAACACAATGCAACTTGTTCAAATCCGGCAAGATACTGTTTTTACTTGAGAGACATCTGCTGCTCTAGTTGTTCTACAAACGATATATCCTTTCTCTAAACTATCACTGTAGTGCATGTAGTCCCCTTCCTAAGGCACTGGGGCCAGTTAAGCATATTGCACTTATTAAACATTGCTTCATGAGTTGCTGGCATGGGGTGTTGGGGATTAGAGCTTCGATGTCAATGTTTGATTCCTTTCAGTTCATTACTGTTGTTTATTACCTTTTTGACATAAAAATCTATCATATTTTTGTTGCTATTGTCTAAAGAAGCCTTGTTAACTGCGAATTCTTGGAGCAAATAATGTAAAATTTCTGGGTGATGTGATACTTCTGCTCTTCCACATTATGAATTTGAAAGAGATTTTTAGCTAATATACATTTGTCCTTAGCGTGGATCATGACTTAAGAGTATTTGAGAGTACATTCAGAGAAGGCTCCATCTCTGGTGGCTGAAGGAATGTACTTTGAATAGAATAAGGAGTGATGATGCTTTTTTGTCAATAAAGACATTCCAGTAATCCAGCAGTAGGATGGAGCTCTGTAGCAGATTCAAAAAAAAAAAAAGAAAAAAAAAGAAAAGAAAAATATTCCAGCAGTATGCTTGTCCTTGTTATAGATATTCACTGTGACACCCTTGAGATATTTTGCAACGATGTGAGCCTATATTAAGCGTTGCATTGAAAGTGTATCATTTGCCTGATAATCTTCATTTTAACCTATTATTTATGGGTTGGATATGTAGAACACAGATTAGATTGGTTGATGTTTACGTGGGGCTTTGAATTTTTCTGCAGGATAACTTGTAAAAGGAACTGTGGCAGAGTATGTACATCTGGCCTTTTTCTGGATAAGGAATGCTGGAGAGTGTATGAAGAGAAGGTTCAATCTCTTCTTGCTGAAGGACTGACTGATAGGGCAAATGTAGTTCGTGTAACATGGGGGAATACACCTTCTGATTGGTTGATCGAAGATGTCTGTGTAACATGTTATTAAATTATAATTTTGTTATGTTTTTAGTACATGTTACGAAAGTTATATTCCTTCCATTGGGGTTTACAGGGATTTTCAAAGTTTGGTGACAATCCCCTTCTAGTTGGTATTCGGGTTAGTTCATTGGAGAAAGCGTTTCGAATGGTTGATGTGGGTCCAAGTGCAGACAACAAGGAAGAGGTCATTTGTTCATGCATCCCTTTTTTCTTATTATTTTCTGTTGTTAGCCATGTTTGTGCTTTTTGATGAACTTGATGGGAAGTAATTTATATAATACAACAGGCTGTCAAATTCCGGAAGTTTTGGGGACAAAAAGCAGAGCTCCGACGTTTTAAAGATGGGCGTATTTCGGAAAGCACCGGTAAGGTCATCTTTCCAGTGATAGAAGACCAATGCTTTTCTGCTGTGGAGTTTTTGGAGATGTATCTTTGTTTTTCCTTTGATCTTTAACTAAATTTTATTGGAGTTCTAGAAAATTACAAGATAATTTGGTCTTGTGGAGATGCCATGGGGGCATCTTGGTGATCAAAAAAATCTCGCAAAGTAACAAGAGCATTTCTAGTTAGAACTTCTCAACTTCATTTACTTGTGTATTGGCAACCTCATTTGCTTCTCTTAGCACATGATGAAAAGAAATTTTGCTTTTTATGATGCTGAAAGATTGCTTTCACCTTTCAAACAGTATGGGAATGCCGACAATGGGAGAAACATCTTATCATAAAGAGGATATGTGAGTATGTATTTTCACTGCATCTTTCCCTATCCAAGGATGATATGATCATTGCTGCAGATCAACTTGATTTCTCCCTTTTGCATAGTGGAAGAGGTAATAACGTGTACAGCTTCCATGTATTATTAGCTGTAATGCTATAGTTTCAAGCCTGATTTGTGTCTGAATGCAATGTTGTATTTTGTGTTTATGTCCAGATCCCGTTTCATTTACTGGAGATATGATATCTGCATTTGATTCTCTATCGAAGCGCTTACGCAGTTTGGAGGATCTTCCTCTGCATGTGTCTAGTGTGCAGCCCTTAGATTCAGGTTGTTTATCTAAGTATCGTTTATCTAAGTATCGAGGTGAATAGATTTTTTTTTTCATTGTTTGCAATTCCTCAATATGGTACAAATTATTATGTGTTGAAAGTTAATGTGTACCATTACTGGAAATAGTTTTTTTTTGGGTGCTAGCACATAACTTTTTCTATGATATGATATTGCATTAGGAAATATTATGGATTTAATGATTGTTTACTTTTGCTCAGCATTTAGGCAAACATCCGTCTTCCCACCTGAACCTCATTACCTAGCTAAAGAGAAAAACTCCAGTGGAAAATCACATAAGTTTGTTCCTAGTTGTATCCAACCATTGGAAGTAATGATCCAAGTAAGTAATATTGCCTCCCAATATGTGTATGCTTTTACCATTGTGAGTTAGTATATGCATTTTGGGATAAATTTGTAATTAATGTAATGATTAAAAAAACAAAAAAAAAAGCAAAAGAAAAGCCTTTCTGTTGTATCCTGATGTTTACTGCATGATGACGTAGTTGGAAGGATCAGGAAATTGGCCAATGGCATACATGGCTGTGGAGAAGACAAAATGTGCTTTCCTTCTTAAGATTGCAGAAAGGTCAACCTCAGGGCATGCTTTTAATTCTGTTTTTTGTCTTTTGTTCATGATATGCTGTTGCTGCTTGTGTTTTCAACATTAGTGATGTTGTTTTGGCAGCTTGCAGAAACGATGGGGTATGATGTGTGTGGCAAGCAAGGATGAAGTGAATGTACTCATGGCAGGATATGCATTTTCCCTTAGAATCTTGCATGAGAGGGATCCAAGTTTGCTAAAAAAACCTAGTGAGGATGATCTTTTGGATGACTATTTATGCGTGAAATTTGCTTTTTTTTTTTTAGTACTGCACTAATGTTGGGGTTATTTTACTTGCTGTAGTTGGAAATGTTCAAACGAAAGACATTTCACCAGTTAAGAAGGACCTTCTCCTATGCAGTCGACATTCTAGCATGCTTAACGGTTTTCAGGGTCTTTATCCTATGTTTGGGCCAGTTGTACGGTGAGGATCCATTTTCCTATTATTTGACTTCCATGTTTTATTGTTTTGTTACTAATCCTATGCTTTATTTTGTGAAGGCTCGCAAAACGATGGGTTTCTTCACATCTATTTTCTGCAAATTTAGTGGATGAGGCAATCGAGTTATTGGTAGCATACTTATTTTTGAAGCCTTTCCCATTTCACGCTCCATGCTCTCGGGTCACTGGGTTTCTGCGGTATGCTTGCAGTGCCTCTTCTTTGCAATGGTGTAATTTCAGCTCCTATACATATGTAGGTTGAATGCCACTTTATTTTTTTTGAAAATGTGTTCAATTAGGTTTCTCTTTATACATGCAGGTATTGTTGAATACCTTTGAGTGCTTGCTACATTAATAATTTAACACCTATCTGTTTGTCTAGTATCCAGTTACAGTTGTTGGTATATAGGTATTTACCTATTTTGGATGAGTCCAATGGGAAGTGCTCCTTGACTGTCAATATGATATTTAAGCATTGCTTTCTTCAATGCACAATATTCGGGATTTGGCATTAACTTACATGATCTCTTGTTACAAATGTAGTTGCATCTGGGTAGTGATTGTGTTCGACCCAATGCTGTTCTCCTGCAATGTTCCCCCCAGCCTAGAAAAACACGTAAGGGGGGCATTTCTTTGACCCCCAATTTTACACATATCCTCTCCTCATCTCAGTGAACCATCGAACTATTTAGTTATTTATTTTTCGTTTTAAAGAAAAGGCGTGCAGAAAAGTTGTTTCTATTTAAGAGAGAAAACATAATGAACATACGCGATCCATTTGATGGAAAAATATATATTGACCTTTAAGAACTCAAAATCATTTTTTTTTTAATTGTGGATTATTTGTATGCTTTCTAAATTATTTGGTCTCAAACATATCTCTTTAAGATGATTTCTTTAGGGTTGGATGTAGGTTGGTCTACCATTCTTGGGAGGGTGAAATCCTATATCCATATGTATATATATATGAAGTTAGAACTTTGGAGAAATGCTCTGGAATCTAAAGATTTTAAAATTAGCCTGAATAAGACAAAATGTATAGAATGGAAGTTTAGTAATAATAGGAGTAAAAACGAGGAACTAGTTAATTTTGTTGACCAAGAAATACCAAGAAATACCTAAAAGAGATTATTTTCGATATCTTGGGTGGATAATCTACAAGAATGGAGAGATTGCAGAAGATGTCACGCATAGAATCAGAGCTAGGTAGGCGAAGCGGAGATGTTAATCTGGTGTTTTATGTGATCACCGCATATCAATGAAAACTAAAAAGGAAGTTTTATAGGATGGCTGTCTGCTGTATGTGACTATTGGGCGGTCAAGAAACAACATGTCCATACAATGAGTGTAGCTGAGATGAGGATGTTGAGATGGATGAATTCAGAATGAATAGGTGATAAGATGATGGAAAGTAGACTTAGGTGGGCTGGCTATGTGCAGTGTAGACCTAATACAGCATTAGTTAGGAGAGACAATTTGGTTCAAGTGGAAGGCTCTAAAAGGGCATGGGAAGGCCCAAAAGGCATGGATGGAAGTAATGAGAAGAGACATAGTGACTTATGGTTTGACTGAGAGTATGGCCCTTGATAGAGCATAATAGCGGAATAGGATTCGTGTAGCCACCCCCAAATAGTTTGGATAAGGCTCGGATGATATATATAT